CTTGTTTTTGAAAATGGCTGTAACTTAAAATTTAGAGTGAAAATTTAGAAAAACTTTAAATTTCAAATGGTGAAACTCCCGTACTCTGCTGTGGGACTTCTCTGTATGCGAAAAGTAGGTATGGCAAATATTCATCCCAATCCTTACCACTCCTTCAAGCAAACTTACGCAGCATACTCTTCAAAGTCCCATTGAAACGCTCCACCAACCCATCTGTCTGGGGGTGGTATGGTGTCGTTCGAATCCTTCGCACATGTAGTAGTAGATACATCTCCTGTAATAGCGTTGACATAAAATTAGCTCCTTGATCCGTGAGAATCTCCTCGGGTATCCCCACACGTGAAAAAACTTTGATTAGTTCCTTAGCAATCCTCTCTGCTTCAGGACTTGGCAATGCAATTGCCTCCGGATACCGTGTAGCGTAGTCCACAATCGTCAGAATGTACCGATTTCCTCTCTTACTCCTAGGTAGTGGTCCAACCAAGTCCATTGCTATCTTCTCAAAGGGGTGTGTCTTCAAAGGCAGGGGTATCATTCCCACCTTTACAGGTTTCTTCCCTCGACTCCTCTGACAGATTTCACAAGACTTGCAATACAGAGCCACATCTTTAAAAATTCCAGGCCAGTAATATCTCTGTAGAATCCTGTCTTTAGTCTTGGTGATCCCCAGATGTCCTGCCATAGGTACCTCATGGGCTAGCTTCAGAACAATTGCCCTGCACTCCACTGGCAGCACCAACTGTTTCAGCTCAAATAGTCCAGGCGGGCTTCCTTTCAGGCCGTTTGGTTTGTTATTTTGTTTGTTATTTTCAGGCCGTTTGGTTTGTGTTCAAATTTTTTAACTGAGAGAGTTAGGAATGAACATCATATCAATAGAGGTGAGTGTGCATGTACATGTACATAGTATATACTTAAATTTAATATTATATTTATCAACTTTTAATTGTATACATTCCAGACATGGGGTAATAGTAATAGATAATAGTAATAGTAATAGTAAAGATTACATGTTTTAAAGTAATTGTAATAGTAATAGTAATGGAGGAATCAAAAAACCAAGTAATAGTAATTGTAATAGTAGGAGATAGTTAAGTAATAGTAATATAATAGTAATTGTACATATTGTAATACATTATTGTACAAGTATTCAATGTACATGTACAGGTACATGTATGTGCATTCAAGTCTGTCTGCTCTGACAAAAGCTTCATCTGCTCCAGTGGAATGATTATTCAGTATGGGAGGGAATTTTTTTA